TTACCACAGCCATTTCCATTCTCTTTGCAAAATCTACCACTGCCTGTCCTTCTACTTCTACTGTCCTTCTCCTTTTCTTCCAACTCACAGCCCACATGTGGGGCATAACCGCTAACAACATTTATCATCACTCCTTCTATTTCTACCTTCACACACATCAACCTGTCTGACTCTCGTTTCACCTCTATCACATTTATTACATGGTCTGCCTTTAGGATCACCCCTACTCAATTTCTCTTCCCATCTGAACCATGATAAAACAATTTGTAGTCTCCTCCAATGTTTCTAGCCTTACTGCCCTTCCACCTGGTCTCCTGCACACACAAAATATCTACTCTTCTTCTCTCCATCACATCAGCTAATTCTCTACTTTTCAATGTCATTGTACCTACATTCAAAGGTCCAAACTTCAGACTAACACTTCTATTCTTCATCTTTTCTCTTTTTCTCCTAACCAAACACCCTCCTCTTCTTCTCTGTCTCTGACCCACATTAGTCCAATTTCCATCAGTGCCCTGTTGGTCAACGGCACTGTTGGCGGTCGTTGTTAACCCGGGCCTCGACCGATCCGGTATGGAAATCGGTTTATTGATCTGCATATTTTATTTAGCTAAACGTTTTACGCCGGATGCCCTTCCTGACGCAACCCTCACCATTTATGCGGGCTTGGGACCGGCACTATAAACACGGCTTCGTGTACCCTAGTGGCTGACTCATTATGGCAATGAGTAATGTGAGAAAACAAAGTTTTAACATGTCCATAACCATATAAAGTGTTAAACTGAAAGTACTATGTAAATACATAGAAGAAGAAGTTTTTACTTTCATGGTATGTTTCAAATCCATTTCCTGTTTTCTAGTTTCTTGAGTCAGACCTTTAGGGCACTCCTAAAGACGACTTACTGTAATGGTTAAAGACATTGCATTTGTTGAGTGAAGTTGAGGGCATATGTAAAAAGGAAGGCAGATCAATTGATGGCATGGTTTCACACTCTCAAATAAAGAAGTATGTAGTTGACAACTCAAAACCAAACCAAACTGACTTGGAGTATGATCCCATGTCTAATTTTTCAGCTGGGTTGCGGTTTTGTGTTTCATCTTGTAAGCAGCAGAAATCAAAACAAGTACTAGAGAGAAAAGAAGCCTCACTATGTGACCAGAAGGTGTCTCCAAGACTTTTTGATGAATCTACTGAGGACTGTGTTCTAATTATTGACATCCCTCCCTCACCTGACAGAAAATGAACTAAATACGAGAAACTGGATGATTATGCTGCAGACATCATTCAGGATGAAAAACAGCTAAAAGAATCCAAACCGAGACTTGTGCTAGATTCGCCACAGCAGGCCCTGGTTGGGATGCATCAGGACAAATATGAATGTGAACAAAGAGAAGAAAATCCAGATTATGATTGTGCTGTTGAAAAGACGAGTAAAGGTTTTGAAAATACACCTACACCAGCTGACAGTACTGTAATTGACCTCACCAAAGGTCAGTCCTCGGATAATCAGGATGTGTACGAGAAAGAAAATACTTTTGAAAGTATGTTGGCACCAAGTCAGCATTTGGTTATTGAGGAAAAGGCAAAATCAATTTTGCCAAGTCTTTCTTCAGATGTTTGCCTTCCTGATGACATTTCTCCTCTCTACCTCAGTAAAATGTGGTCAGGAGTTTATCTCCTTCACTTCTCAGAAAAAAACAGAGACCCAGACCAATGCTGTTCATGCTACCTCTGCAAACACAAAACCTGTTTCTGTGCTAAATGGTATGCAATTCCTGGCAATAGCGGCCTATATTCTCATTGTTGCAACATGTGTTTTTTTTATGTCTTTGTATTTATTGAGTCTTGTATATTGTAGCAGCTTCTCATGCATGATTATTTGTATCTTTTTTTGTCTTCTACCAAAAGCTTGCACAAACTACCTGCCTTTGGGAACTGCTGTTACCGATGTAGGCAACAACTTACACTTGATACTTCCAGAAGGCACCTTCCCTTTGCCTATGTCTTCTGCCAACAGCCCTGTTACCTCTGTGTTAACCCCAGTTGGTCATGTGCCTCAGAGCAACTCTCTTGGTGTAAAACAGATATGCCTCAGAGCTGCAGTAACACCTGTGCAGAGATACACTATATTACCAAAAGTATTCGCTCACCCATTCAAATGATCAGAATCAGGTGTCCTAATCCCTTGGCCGGGCCACAGGTGTATAAAGTGCAAAGAGGTCGCCGACTTTCTGCACAGTCAATTGCTACAGAGCTACAAACTTCATGTGACCTTCAGATTAGCTCAAGTACAGTACGCAGAGAGCTTCATGGAATGGGTTTCCATGGCCGAGCAGCTGCAGCCAAGCCACACATCACCAAGTGCAATGCAAAGCGTCGGATGCAATGGTGTAAAGCACGCCGCCACTGGCCTCTAGAGCAGTGGAGACGCGTTCTCTGGAGTGATGAATCACGCTTTTCCATCTGGCAATCTGATGGACGAGTCTGGGTTTGGAGGTTGCCAGGAGAACGGTACATTTCAGACTGCATTGTGCCGACTGTGAAATTTGGTGGAGGAGGAATTATGGTGTGGGGTTGTTTTTCAGGAGCTGGGCTTGGCCCCTTAGTTCCAGTGAAAGGAACTTTGAAGGCTTCAGGATACCAAAACATTTTGGACAATTCCATGCTCCCAACCTTGTGGGAACAGTTTGGAGCGGGCCCCTTCCTCTTCCAACATGACTGTGCACCAGTGCACAAAGCAAGGTCCATAAAGACATGGATGACAGAGTCTGGTGTGGATGAACTTGACTGGCCTGCACAGAGTCCTGACCTGAACCCGATAGAACACCTTTGGGATGAATTAGAGCGGAGACTGAGAGCCAGGCATTCTCGACCAACATCAGTGTGTGACCTCACCAATGCGCTTTTGGAAGAATGGTCAAAAATTCCTATAAACACTCTCCTCAACCTTGTAGACAGTCTTCCCAGAAGAGTTGAAGCTGTAATAGCTGCAAAAGGTGGACCGACATCATATTGAACTCTGGGTTAGGAATGGGATGGCACTTCAGTTCATAGTATGAGTCAAGGCAGGTGAGCAAATACTTTTGGTAATATAGTGTACCACACTACAGCACCTGTGCTTATTCCTGCTCAGTCACTTAGACCCTCATCAGCTGCCGTTGCAGCACATTTAAATCCAACCGCCTCCATCACTGGTCAACCTGCTGTACAAAATGTTAATGTTAAGGTAAGAAACAATGGGATTTTATTGAATGCACTTAAAAAGGATAGTCCACAAGGTTTCCTTGCAAAATAGTGGTGATGGAATGAGCCCTGTGATCTGAGGATTGCAAATCCTGTTACCAGCAGTTCTGTGGTATGTTAAGGAAGTACCAACATTCCCCTGTTCTTATGGCCCAGTAGAGTGCAGACCTGCTTTTTAAAAGGGTTAACTATAGATTACAAATTTCATTTGTGCTAAACTCTACAATGAAAAGTCCACACATCTGTCTGAAATGAGTCTATACAAACTGATACTTAATGAGTCTATGATACTTAAATTTAGTAAGTATCAGTAACAGCAGCTCTCAGTTACATTTAAAGCACTACGGAAATGTTTATTATTTCACACAGTTTCAGCAAGTGTCTACTAAACGTAAGTTGAAGCAGTGTGAGCCTGCCAAAGATAAAGTGCCCTACGAGGTTCGTTAGCGATATGTCAACATTTTTACGGAGGAGTTCCTTAAAACCACACCCATTGTTAATGATGCCTTTGAAAAAGCGAGTTTACCCAAAAGTCACAATAGCCACCTTTTGATTTACTGGGCATTCATGTTTGTTTGTTTTTTTTCCTTTGCTGAAATAGGCAGTTGCTGAAGAGAAAACTGTCTACAACCGTAGTGCAAACAAATTGAAGTATGTTACTGTAGCTGTGAATTCACTGAAGAGGCTGAAATACCAGACTGCTGCTTCATCCAGAGGTGGACACAACCTTTTTAAGTAGTACTAGTTTGTGATGTGTGCATGTGGTAATGGTTAATGTAATTATTTATTTTATTTTATTTCCCCTCATGTTGCAGGTGAAAAAGCCCCCAGTGAGAAAAGAAAAGGCAAAATTTCCCTTAATCTTGAAATGTGCAGAGAAAACGGTAAGTCTGTTTTGTTTGCATTTCTGCATGCCCAACTTTAAAGCTTTCACAGCCTCTATGTTTGTCTTCTAGATGATATTACCCTCTTTCAGAGTTTAAATGACTATATTTTACCTGAGGAAATGCTGATTGAGAACAACTATCCCATCCAGCACACTGAGAAACTTGGCTCTGCAGTTCTGTTTAAACACACTACTAAAGGCAACACGGACCGTAAGTGTAGCTGTTTCTCCTTGACTTGAACTTTTTTGAGCTTGTCACTGTAGGGTACGTTGACTATGATATGTAAGTAAATTTAGAGGTGCATCTTTAAACAACATTTTTGTTGTGCTGAGGTTTTTTTCTGATGTTGGGTTGGGGAAGCTTTGAAGAGAACCTGCTGTCGATGTGGCGCTACATACTCTGTGAGCAAATCTGGTAAACATGTCCGCAAGGAGGAGTGCAATTATCACTATGGTAGAGGAGTTGAGCGAAAAGGTATGTTGAAGCATCAAATGGCTGTCATCATCTCTTTAATGGTAAAGACATAACGCATTAGAAAACTAAAGTTTTAAAGTGTGTGCGTGTGTAGTGCCAGGTGGTGTGGAGACTCACTACAGTTGCTGTCAAGGAGTCATGGGAGCCCCTGGATGTCAGGTGTTTCAGGTTGGACATCATTGACTTAATTGTGTGTTTAAGATAATGTGGTGCAAAAGTGTCCAGGGTTCCTCAGAGACAAAGGAGAAATGTAGGACTGTACATATGTGTAAATATATATAAAAAAAGAAAGAACTTGAAATCATCTACAAGATGGTGTTTATTTGTTTTGTTTTTTTCCTCCCCCTCTTCCAACAGTTGCATGTTCATGACTCCCTCAGCCTCGATGGGTTTGTCTCCACCAGGCCCAGACGTCCCTCCGATACCAATTGTCTACTCTTTGGATTGTGTAATGGTAAGGTCAACTTTTTGGGGTAGTTATTTAAAAATTGTCACTCAAACTCCTGATGATAAATGTAATTGCTCTACTGCAGGGGTCACCAATGTGGTGCCCGGGGGCACCTGGTAGCCCCCATGGACTACCTAATGTGCCCGTGGGGTATGTTCTAAAAATAAAACTCGTAACCAAGAGGGTCAAATGTACTGTTACTGTGCTTTTGGAATCAGTTACAATGTCACTTGCAATGATATTCAAATGGGTACAATGAAGATGGTAAGAAGAGTGTCTACTATTGTATGTCCCAGAACTAATTATTATTACATTGTTCGGGAAGTCTCAGACAAGTAGCTCTTCGTATTACTAAGTGCCCTTGAAGTAACTGTTTCAAAAAGGTTGGTGACCCCTGCTCTACTGTAACTTGGCTCTGCATTAAAAGCTGAACTCTTTCAAGATTGAGCCTACAGTCTGTTTAGCTTGGATTGTTTGAATAAGTTTTCTGTTAGTGTTATACTGTCAGTGGTCTGGCGCTGTCCAGAGTGAGTGTGGCCAACTCTAGTCTGCAAGTCATCTACGACACATTTGTCAGACCTGACAGTGAGGTGATCACACAAGGTAAATTAGGTGTCTCTGTGCCATCTTTCATTATATGAAACCTATTGTCTGTTATGTGCTGTTTGATCATGTGAGAATATGCAAATGTATTATTTTGGAAGCATACTATAAGGTTATATTAGTCATTTGACTAAATTGTCATTTAGTCCTTGTCCCAATTTCTGAAAAGAACAGTTTTAATTTTAGTCGACCAGATGTGTGTAAAATTTTTGTAAAAAGTTTTTATAGATGTAATTTATATTTGATCGTGTTGTTTGACCAACAACATGACTGTGTATGGCTTTCACCATCAAAGGACATTAACAAAGTCTTTGATGGAAATGAACAATGGTTGAAAGGAAGACAGTTTGTCTAGGACAAAGCAGCATTACTGCTGCAAGAACTGGTCATTAGGCAAGTTTTTTTTTTTTTTTTTTTTTTTTGTTTATTTTGCCAATGAAGGTTTTCAAGCATCGGTAAAGAAGATGTGAAAGGTAACAACACTTCACTCAGGGAGGTGCAAGAGACCTTGATGAGCTTCATTAATGCTGACACCATTCTGATTGGACACAGCCTGGAAACAGCCCTCTGTGCCTTGAAGGTGACTATGCTTTTCCCAGTGTCACGGGTGTGATTACTGCAGTGTTCTGATGACTGCTAATGCAAATGTTTTTTTGTTTTTTTTGGTTGTTATATTTGATACACACAGTTCAGGTGTGTAACCCATATGTAACTAATACAGTATTGTAACATTTCTAAATGATTATATCAAAACAATTTAACAGTAAAGTTACCTCTAAGATTTGGATTTATACAAATAGTTACGGGACATTTGCCTACTTCTATAAAATCAAAGATGATATATTTGTATAGTTGGGATTAAAAGTAAATAATTGAAAAAAACAGTAAAAGCTGCAACTGGATAGTTTTCATGATTATTATGAAGAGAGTATGGATCAGGATACCCCTCTACTTTCTTTGTTGTAGCTGCTCCACGGTAGAGTAGTGGACACATCAGTGGTGTTTCCCCACCGTTTGGGACCTCCACACAAGCGCACCCTCAACCATCTCACCGCTGAATACCTGTGCAGAATCATCCAAGAGAGCGGTGGGTCTTCATCAAATCTTACAGCCACCACATCAGATTGTTTTGTGTCAATGCTTTAAGTGTCCAAATAAAAGTACCAGGGTTTGTGTTTGAAAATGTTGTCATTGTTTGCATGTAATGAGGAATATTGATGTTTCAGTGTGTGGACACAACACTGCAGAAGATGCTGCAGCATGCATGGAGCTAATGTTATGGAAGACCAAGGAAGATGGAAAACTGAAAAAATAATTTAAATAAACTGAATAATACACTGATTCTTTTTTTTTTTCTACAATGGCTGCACAATTACAAACATGTGACTGTGTATTTTTTGTTTGTTTAGGAATTAAATTCAAATTTTGAATTGTAACCTATGTGTATGGAGTAAAGGATATGTATTAGAAAACTGGAATTATCAAATAAGTAAAGGCAAAGAATAAATTCCATTGGTGTGTTCCTTTGTCTTTCCAAACTCACAAACCAATGAACCACAAGCTTTGAATGTCTAAGTGCCCCCTGGTGTTACTAAAAGTCCTTTGTACTTGTGAAAAATTGAGTTAATTGTTGGCTGCACATGATTCTATATCAAAAGATCCAACATTTCACCAGTTTACTAACACAAATCATTGTCAGCACTTTCTCTGAGCATTAAAAAACAAAAGCATTAAAAATTTAACAAAACTAGGAAGCTGTAGAACATAAAAGTTTAAAAACGTGAATGGCATTTATTCCCTCTTAGTCTTTCTTTTGCTGCTGTAGCACCTACTGAAGCAGAAACTGCAGGACAATGGAGAGGAGGAAGACCAGTACATCCAGGTTGAATCAATGATTTACTTGATAAGGCTCATTCTCTCTGTAGTTATTCTTTGTACACCGTTAGATAGCTGAGACCCCTCATACTCTTGGCTGAAAGTTAAACATGAACAGGATCTTTAAGGTAATATAAAGGCCAAAGTTTAATAACTTTGCTAAAAACTTCAATAAGTTTGGTGGGGGGTGCATCACAAGGCAAAATAATTTTTAGTATTTGCTTTATTTGTGCCACAATGGGAAGAAGGAGCTGATTTGAAAATGAATTTCCTTTGATTGAGAAGAATAGCTGTTACATACAGGGGTTAGACAATGAAACTGAAACGCCTGGTGACCAAAGGTTTGGCTATAGCAGCCCAGCCCTGTATAATGATCCTGTGGAGCTCCCGACGGACAGTTTTGGTGGAAACAGAGGAGTTGAGGTGCACATTTAATTCTGCAGTGAGTTGGGCAGCTGTGGTTTTATGTTTTCTGGATACAATCCGGGTTAGCACCCGGGCATTCCTTTCAGACAGCTTCCTCTTGCGTCCACAATTACTCCTGTTGGATGTGGTTCATCCTTCTTGGTGGTATGCTGACATTGCCCTGGATGATTTGATACATCACAAAGACTTGCTGTCTTGGTCACAGATGTGCCAGCAAGATGTGCACCAACAATTTGTTTTCTTTTGAACTCTGATATGTCACCCATAATGTTGTGTGCATTGCAATATTTTAACCAGAATGTTGGTGCCGAAAATTACGTTATTCAGTCACCACTGTTGTCATCTAACTGCCGCAGATAGAATGACCTGAAAAGAACCACACCTGACAATGTTGTACTTTTTACTCGCTGCGAGGGGGAGCACAGAGACCAACAGTTTCGCAGAGCTGGCTCACCTAAGTCCCAAAGTGTATGAGGACTGCAGCTCCTTTTATTGAGAAGGTTTCACAAGTACTGGGCAGTTGTTTTTTTGGTTAAGTTTTACTCCCAGGGCAAAGGTCATCCGACTCCCATACTTGATGAGAAACAGACCTCATCCTTTATGGACCTACATTGTAAAAAAACTTTTAGGAGTACCTACTCCTGTCAAGCAGACCATTATTTAACACACTTAGATAACAGTTTATTGTTCACCACACTTTGGTTTAACACACTTTGGTAACTAACTATGAATTCTATTTACACAGAACTTTGCTATTACTCTGCTAATTGAACCTTCACACTCTGCTCTTACTGGTGCAATGTGCAATCAATGAAGTTTGGCCACCAGGCTGATCATATTTAGCCATGAAACCTCCAACACTAATTTGGCCAGTGTTTCAGTTTCATTGTCCAACCCCTGTACATTAATGCAGGTATTAGGTCTACGTCTGGTCTTAATCATGATTATTAGGACAGACAACATCACCAGCTTCACGCCCATCATCAAATGAAATGACTACGCAGTCTTCCTTTTTCTTTTGCTGCCACAGCACCTCCTGGAGCAGAAACTGAAGGTCTTGATGAAAAGGACATTGACAAGCAGGACAACGGAGAGGAGGAAGACCAGGACATCCAGGCTGTGGTACTGGTACCAGGTGAGTTCATGGGCTTGGACCCTCAAGTGTTTGGCCCCCTTGTTTCTTATGGTGTACTGAATCCAGAATATGGCCTTGTCACAAGGACTCATAGGTCTGTCATGGTGGGTCCTGGACAGTCGCATGGCGTTCTCCTTGTAACTGTGGATGAAGATTTACATAGTTTTCAGTTACAGGTTTTTCCCAGTGACTTATATCACATGATGTCAAACCTTTATTTCCTTTATTATCTAAAGGATATCCAGTAGTTAGCAGTGTCCACTTGTTCCTAAATAGGTTACATTTTGTTAAACAGAAATCATCGTAACAAGGGAGCCAGTCATTTGTTTGACCAGTCGGTTAATAATAAATGTGGATTTTTTTCCCCGATTCTGGTATTTAAAAGATATAAATAACAAGTATAAGCCACAGAGATAAATAATCATTTACAATCACATTCCAAACAAAAGACAGATTACAGCAGTAAGTCATCTTAAACTACGCTATCTATTTTATAAACTATATAAACACAGATGGTAACTAACTGACCAAAAAACCCCAACAATGTGGTTAAAAGGAAAAAACAGAAATGTAACCAAATGACCTACATGATGTGGGGAAGCAGCAGCAGCTGCTACCGCTGACCCTTAACACTTGTGCGGTCCTTCGCATTTTTGTACACACCGTTTGTCCTTGCAATGATTTTCATCTTGTCCCAGAATATGAGTATTAATGAATATGAGGAAAAGCTGGCACAAGTCATGCAGTACAGGAACATGCACACGCACGCATACTCATGCATGCACACACACACACAGACACAAAGACCCTGGGGTCACCTAGACCCGAAGGACTTCACAAGGGTTAAAATAATAATTCAGTCCAGAAGTGATTTAGTACTCACGATTTGTCGAAGTTTTTTGTTTGTTGAAGTTCAAATCCACGATGCGTGCAGCTCCCCTGGCCTTCATGTGGACCATGTTTGCTGGCTGGTCAGCAAACATGGGGATGCCCACCATAGGAACACTGTGATAGATGGCTTCATAAATTCCATTTGCACCTCAATGGGTGATAAAGGCTCTAGTCTGTGGGTGACCGTATATCTAACTTTTGTATTTGAATGGTCAAATCAATCGTACACATAAGAAGATCAATACTGTTTCAAGACACGTGCTGGGTGACATCTTTTCAAACTGGTTCTGAGTGTAACGTATTTAAATGAGGTCTAAAACAAGTCTGGAAATAAATTTGTTCAGAGCTGAATTCACCCAGCAGGTCATTCTGAGGGAGCCAGTAAAATAATCTTATGTTGGCATGCAGAGTCTTGTGGTTTTTGTCCTTTGTATCGCCACAGAACCTGCAAGTGTCAGTGAACAGTTATTATTATTTTATGCCAAATTAAGCCCCTATATATATTTATTTTTAAGTAAAGCACTGATGACCTTTTGTGGAATCTGAGCAAGGGCTGAAGCTATCATGTTGGCCTTTTCTCTGGTGATGTTTGTGATCAATGATCCCAAGGTGAAGACACCATGTTCTCTGGAACTCTGGACAAAGTCTTCAATGTCCTGCAACAAATAAAATACTGTAGGTTTTTTGTTTTATTGAGCTTAAAATGAATTAACTTCCAACACTGTGCAGTACAAATGGTCTAATAATTAGTCTAAAGCCTCTTAAGTACGTTCACAATGTCACTGCCCACATACCCCTTACCTGCTTTATGAGGGCATAGTTGTCATGCAATAAACTCACTAGGGGGCAGTGCTGAGATAAGAGTTAATTTCAGGGCTGACATCAGTTTCTTAATTAATATTGTAATAAAGTTCCTGCTAAGGGTGAGGAGCTCTGTCACGCGGGAGGAGCTCGAAGTAGAGCCGCGTCTCCTCCACATCGAGAGGGGTCAGCTGAGGTGGCTTGGGCATTTACATCGCATGCCCCCCGGACGCCTCCCTCGGGAGGTGCTCGGGTGCCGTCCCTCTGGGAAGAGACCTAGGGGAAGACCTAGGACACGCTGGAGCGACTACGTCGCTCGGCTGGCCTGGGAACGCCTTGGGGTCCCCCCAGAAGAGCTAGAGGAAGTGTCGAGGGAGAGGGAAGTCTGGGTGTCCCTGCTCAGACTGTTGCCCCCGCGACCCGGCCCCGGATAAGCGGTTGAAGATGGATGGATGGATGGAAAGTTCCTGCTAGTCTTAAACAACAACTAGGATTAACCACTAAAGTCAAATTTACATGAGGCATAGGTTTAGCAGGTCTGTAGTGGATCCTGACAGCATATTTGAAGTTAGGGAGTATAGGATAAGGGAAATTTAAGTCCCAGTAGTTTCTTATCAGCCAGATGTCTGCTTTGCCCATCATCTTACAAGCACTTGTGGGTGTACCTGTCAACACATTGCCTGATATGACATTTTCCACTAAGCTTTTACATGAATGTGGATATGTTCACTTTTGAAATCAGAGTAATAGTTATCTAGATCATTCCATATGATGTGGTCGTAAACCAGATCATTCAGTAAGTAGAAGCCAGAATTCCACACTCGTTCTGAGAAGTCCATCTTGTCAGTCAGTTTACTCATAGCTCCAGGTACGAAGGAAGGTGGTGCAGGTAGTTGACCACAGTGTTGCTCCCAGTTGTTAACAAAGGAGAAATGAAGAGTAAAAACCAGAGGGATTCCCAAAATGTCCGCAACCAAATCACTGCCATCAAATTTCCCTTTTTTTAACTTTTTCATGACTGGTTCTGATTATTAATACTTGAAGCCATAGTGAATGTTTTGCTTCATCTTCTCAATAAATTGAATGTATATCTGCAGATAGCTCATTTGATCCATCTCATAAACTGCAAACTGCAGAAAGTCTTCAATACATTTTTCCATCTCTTCCAACGATACAGACGGATTGAAAGGTTGTGTTAAAATATTGTAAATACGTAAGATTATTCAATCTTTACAATATATTCATTGTATTAAGTTTCCATATCAATTTATACTGTTTGTTTTTAAATGCTGTACTAAAAGGAGAAGTACTGAAGAAAGGTGTGCATGCTGATGGTTTACATAACAGGATGGTGTATGGTACGGATGGCACTGACTGTTACGCTTGAAGATAGAGACAGGTCACAGAACCAGCCTGAACCAGTTTCTCTGCCCAAATAATGAGGAAAACAGAACATCAAAAAGGAAAAGAATCGAGAAATGTATTTCTTTGATCTAACCTGAGTTACTGAGCAGAATAGCTCAGCATGTGTACATGTTTTCTATTGGTGGAGAATCTTTGTTTGAAGCAGCTTTTGCCAATCAGCACTCAGAAGTTGCGCGACAACACCACATGGCTGTAAAGGGTTAAGGTACTGACCATTGAAGTGTGTGTGTAAAAAAAACTGTATTTAAGCTTTGAGCACTGAGGAGTTCCTCAGTGCATTTCTGAATGTAACCATTGTTCTGCACTCCTTGCTTGCAAGTAAAACTTCATATTCTCGTATTTGATTCTTTATTTGATCAGATCTTTATTTGATCTTTATTTGAATTCTTTGTGTGTTAGGAAACTGGGGTATGAACCAACAGCATTTTTTACAGTCCTATCTAACAGAGAAAGTTTCCTGACAGTGGGGCTGGGCCAACGCTGTATGAGTCTGGTGTGTGTGTGTGTGTATGTATGCATAAGTGTGTGCTGTATTTCTTGCTCCTAAAAAAGCAAACTGGGCACCTCCCATCGCTGCAGTGCGGCTTGGATTCTTATGTGGTTATGCTTCGCTTCACAGCTGTGTGGAAGTTCCTTTGAAAGTTATGTGTAATTTTCTTCCTTTCTGGACATACAGTGTGAGCACAAATTAACTCCACAACAACCAAGGCTATCTCTACAGCAGGTGTCTACAACCTTTTTACCTCTGAGACCTACTTCTACAAAATAAAAATGGCCGAGATCTACTCATGTTTTGTAACATTTATTCTCATGGCTCATTTTGAACAAACAAACTCAATAAGCTTTCTTTTCTTGAACATTTACAATATGTTACTGTCCACATCTCACATTCTGTATTAAAACATCACAAAATTATTAATATTATCATTGTTATAGTTGTTACTACAAATACCGATATTGCTACTTATTTACTTATCATTGCTATACAATATGTCCATGTAACTGTATCACACTTCAAAAAACTATTTACATGCACAAAGACATCTAAAAATGAAATGTTATTATGAATCATTTACAATTTCTACAAACCAAGAATCAAAAACTTTACCCAACACAACATTTTTAGTCATCAATATATCAGTGTATCTAAATGGCGAAATCCACATAAAGAACAAAAATTGCATTCACAATAAAAGTCATTCAGTTCACTTCAGTTAAATATTAAGCAGAGAAGGTGTGTGTGTGAGTGTGTTCAGAAGTACTTTGTTAGCTAGTGAGATGACACTGCAAGGAGTCAACAAGAGAGGTAAAGAACCTTGAGTCCTTGAGTCCACTCTGCATCAGATAATAATGTGGTGTTCTCCCCCCTTGTTTTCATGAATGCTTTGATTTCACCCAGCAAGGAAAGAAAGCGCTGAAGTATCTTCCCCCGACTTATCCATCTGACCTCGATGTGGAGGAGGAGATCCCCATACTCCGCAGAGCATTCCTCTAGGAACAGCTTGAAGCTCCGGTGCTGTAATTACCTTTGCTTGAATGGAACTGATGATCCTGATAACAGGCGTCATGACATGGTCAAATCCCATAAATTTTGCGCATATAGCCTGTTGGTGAATGATGCAATGGTAGTTCAAAAACTTTGGAATATCCTGGTCCGCTTTGCAGTGCACAATAAATCCGGAGAGACGACCTGTCATTGCAGGTGCTCCATCAGTTGTTACAGAAATTCCCGTCTTCCTGAAAGCGTGTCTCTTAATAGGAGCCATTTCAGGGTCTTTACACAAACACACAAATGAAAATGAATCGCTGTTTAATATATCCCAGCATGCACCGCGCACTTCTTCTTCTACGGGGAAAAATGGAGTCTGTGGCTGCTTACCGTAAGTTGCGAGACCTGTCGCGGCTCAATATTGATCCATATATAAGGCGTACCGGATTATAAGGCGCATAGTCAGCTTTTGAAAAAAATTTCAGATTTTAGGTGCGCCTTATAGTGCGGAAAATACGGTAATCTTGCTTCTTCTGAAACCTTCACAGTAGCAACAGCTATACTCTCTTATCTGTTCTTGGTATCATTAGATCATTAGAATTTGTTGAGATTTCAGTTTGTGCACCTTTTTATCAAAATCATCGTCTTGCCCTGGAGTGTGCTTAAAACGCAAAGTTACATGCAGTTTATCAACTTGTTGGATTTGGTCTGGCATTTTTAACAAATCTGTTATTTTGCTAAGCAATGTTGTTGGGACCCTCAAAAGCGGACCAGTGTTCAAATCTAATGACCAGAAATAGTTTGGCGTGCCTGTTCCTTGCACAACCATAACATCAGTGTTTGTTTTGTTTATGTCATGTCTGTCTGGTTCCTTTTCCTGTTGTCTTTGTGGGGTAATCTGTGGGATCACACTCACCTGTTAGTAATTAGCTTCACTTGTGTCACCTGGTGTTCCCTGTGTATATATACCCCTCTCCCTGACTCTGTCGTTGTTGGATCATTGTGTTGGATCAGTGGGTTAGATCACTGTGTTTGATCATTGTGATTGTGTTAGATCTTCGTGTTCGTGAGTTTCCTACTCTGTGTTTCCTCGTGTTTCCGTGTTTCCTCGTGTTCCAAAGAGAATTCCATGCCTGTTAGTTCTTTGTGTTTTGTTCATTTGGACTTTGTTAATAAAACCTAACCAGTACTGCATTTGGGTCCTGCCTGCTTCCTGCGATGCCCGCACGTGTCTATTCCTTTTCACAGTCATTCCACCAGTCTCATCGGGCACAATCGCTAGTCGTAACTGTGACATTGCATCTCTCCCTAATAAGTTTACTGGACAATTTGGTGCCAAAATAATTTGCA